CTCAATGTGTCTAATTAGTATGTTCAACTTTATCATTGCTACATATAAGAAAAACATGGTATGTATTTGGTTTGGTAATTTCTGCAGTTTCAGGAATCCACAGCAGGTCTTGGAATGTGTCTCCACAAATAAGATAGGACTATTGTGTCTATCTTTTCTCATTAAAATATAATTTCCACTTGTGTTGTAAAGGAGAAAGTATTTGAGGTATGATACACAATATGTCAGGAGACTAAGAAATAGGCTTGGTATTAAAGAGCTCAGTGTAAGAAAATTCAAAATATTTCTAATGGTGGTATCTCTGGGAGTTTAATGTCACAAAGTAGTGAATAAAGCATGCTAATGTGCAGGGGTAATGTAAGGATTGTTAGCCTGTATGAATACTCAGAATTTTAAAGCTTCAATGTTTTCTGGTTTTTAAGACTTCAGAGGTGGTCTGTAATGGATTTGAATGTTTCATTTGTGGTATAATGAAATGTTTACGGAAAGATGACTTTTTCATTAAAGTATTTTTAGAAATGTGAAAACAATAAAATAAAATAAAATTTCCAAAAGGACAAAGTTCATTCTGCTTTTTATTTTTATTTTTTTTTCGTTCTGCTTTTTAAAAACATTAAAATGGAAGCATTTCCCCAGCATTGGTGAGGTCCTGGGTTCAAATCCCAGCATTGGCCAAATTAAAAAAAAAAAAGTGGTGATGGGAATTGAGATAACGTTATTCTTTCCAAAAATTCACAAGTAGAAAAGCCTTTTATTTTTTCTAAGAGATTTGAAAATGAATTGTCAAGTTAGTATTCAATAGCCCTGAACACTTCAGCATGCAATTTTTACAAAGACATTCTCCTACATAAGTTCAAATACTCATCCAAATCAGAAAATTTACACTGATACATTTGTACAATTCAGCCATCAGATGCCTTTTCATTCCATCAATTGTCCTAATATATCCTCCAAAGCAAAAAGTTTTAACTCGGCACCATGTGGCATATTTGATTGTCTTTATTAAAAAAAAAAAAAAAAACTCTTTCAATCTGGAAAATTTTTTCAGTTGTCATTTTATTCTTGACTCTTTTTAATGTTGACACTTTGGAAGACCAGAGTCTAAAGCTTCTCTGTTGTTTTTTTTTTTGTTTGTTTGTTTGTTTTTGTTTTTTCTTTTCCATTGCTGGGAATGAAACGCAAGTCTTCACACCCAGTAGGCAAGAGCTTTAACACCAAGCTACATTCCCAGGCCTGAAAATCTCTTTGGCTGGGGTTCTTTGCCAAGACTGTTGTAGAAATGATGCTTTCTTCCAAGTCTTCTTAGATGCTATGTGATTCTGACTTGTCCTACTGCTGCTGACATTCACTGTAACACTGGATTAAGGTAATGTCTGAAAGCAATCTCCACTGTAAAGTATTGAGGGGAGCACTACCCTGAGACCATTGTTTAATTAATTTTTAGTGTATGCTTATTTTAATAGTGTGGATGTATAGCTTCTATTTTTATTCAAGTTATGAGTTGTAATCTATTACAATCACTTCTTTTTTGATGTTTACATTGTTCCAAATTTGACAGTGAGCCCCTGCATCCTGATTCTGTGCAGTTTTGCTATGAGGTCATCATTCTGAGCACTTCCTGCTCTGGCACGGAAGGTTGAAGGATTCAGCTTGTTCTTTCCTTGCTGTAGTTCTGGAGTAGCTATTTCTCCAAAGAGCACTGATTTCTCATAGTGGCTAATGATATATTTTTTAAAGCAACATATGAATACTCAGTGTCACTGTCTGTGGTCCCCACTGATGGACACAACTAGACAATATACATATTTAAAGTATATGTATCTCTATAGTTATTTATTTATATTGAAATTCCTAAATTCAAACCAATCTGTGATTTCCATCTCACATCACAGGGTTCATTCGTTTTATCCTTTTACCAGGTTTTAACTCCCTTCACATTTATCAGTAAACATGACATTCATTATACTAATTACCCTTAAAATACATGTTCACTATAGCATTTGATGGTAAATAGTAATTAAAAAATAGAAATGATACAGAATCATTAAACAAAATATGAATTCAACAGATTATGCTGTATTGCATATTACTGTTTTCAACTTACTTGTTCAGATTACCAGATTTATGCCTCTAATCCTCCCTTTCCCCAGATCCCCTTCTCATCTCGACAGCCTATTTTCCTGTTTCCCATCATTAGTTTACATTATTTATTTCAGGTTTCTCATATAACAGATACCATGTGCTATCTAATCTTCTGTCTCTGATTTGTTTTACTTAATAATAGGGGCTCAAGGGGCATCAATTCTCCTGCAAATTATTCAAACTTATTCTTTTTTAAAAATTTTATTTATTTATTTATTTATTTATTTATTTATTTAGTGTGTGTGGCCAGCTCAGCCCACCAGGGGGCGGGGCTAGCCGGCATGTGGTGCTGGGGGATTGAAACGCAGTCCCTGTGCTTTGCTTAGTTAAGCTTGTTCTAAGTAGGTGCTTTAGACCACTGAGCCATCTCACCAGCCCCTCAAATTTATTCTTTATAGTTGAGCAGCACTCCATTGTATGCGTGTGTATATATAGAGATAAATATAGATACCACATTTTCTTTATCCATTTATCTGTTATAGGTTTATAGGCTGTTTACAATTTTAGTTATTATGAGCTGTGCTGCTATAATCATGGGTATACAGGTATCACATGCTAAGATTCTTAAACTCTTTCAGGAAGATTCTCGTAGGAGTATAGACCAGTGAAATCTCTTATTTATTTATTTATTAATGACACCAGGGGTTGAACTCAGGACAATGCACTTGTCAGGCAAGCGCTTATTCCACTGAGCTATCTTCCTGGCCCTCTACTTTTAATTTTCAAGAAATCTCCATGCTGATTTCCATAGTGGTTGCACTAGTTTACACTCCTACAAACAATGCAAAAGCGTTCTTTTTTCTTGCAAACTGGTCAGCATTTGTTGTTTTTCAAGTTCTTGAAGACAGCTATTCTTGTGGGGTAACATAGACTCTGTGTCATTTTGATTTTCATTTCTCTGATGATCAGTGATGTCTAACACTTCTTCATTTGGCCCCTGACCATTTGTGCAGTTGCCTGTGGTTCTGACTGAGTATTTCTTTGGGGGGAGGGTCTTTCTTCAAACATCTTAGGAGTATCTTGATATGATGACACTCATGTTCTCCCCTCTTGTTTACTAGTTCTCCACCACGGAGGTATTATGTATTACAAATATATACTAAATGAACAATAGGGGAGAACATGAGTTTCATCATATCAGGATACTCTTAAGATGTTTGAAGAAAATGTGAGTCAAAGTATGGGAAAAATACCTGAAAAGCAACCGCAGAGAAAAACATAAGAAATGTCTGCATAACCAACACTGAGTGAAGAAATAGCAAGATGAGTAAACACTGACTGAAGGGGGAAACAATGCTTGTTGGAGATTTGTCTCAATGTCTTTGATAAATATTTTTAAGTATCCCAATTATATTTAAGATAAGTAAGCTTCAAAATAAAATTTCAGCTTATAGGAAAAAAAATCAGTGGTTGACCATCATCAAAACAAATTCAATTCCTAGTCTACGTATCACAACTGAGCTCGTGTGACACTAGGGATTACCAACCCCACAGAACATGCACTTCTATTTAATGGAATATCTGACAAAGAATTTTCTCAAAAGTTGATGAATGGAACCATTAAAAATTATAACTAGGCTGGCCAAATAGCTCAGCGGATTAAAGCACCGGCAAGCAAGAGCAGGGGCCAGGGTCCCATCCCAGGGTCCCATCCCTGAGGCACGCTGAGACTGCAACAGAGACTCAGCATGGTGGCGCGAGCCTGTAACCCCAGCTCTTGGGAGGCTGTAAACAGGAAGATCGCTGTGAGTCCGATCTAGTAGTGAGACCCTGAACACCCTGTAGATCCTTCCCTAAAATACAAAAAAGAAAAAACTTATAACTATCTACTTTAAACCTAGCAATTTTAGTTATTTCCATGCTTTTAAACACTAGGTGTAGTGTTCCTTCTCAATTTTCTTTTCAATTTTAGGACACTGATTTCCTAGAAGCACAAAGTTTAAACTTTAAACTCCATTTCCACCTCAGCCCCATCACCTAGAACCCTTCTCCAAAATCTACCCTTCAAAATGCAACTATGTATTTATTATGTTAGAACACTTTGTGTTTATGTAACACTAAACACAAGTTCTTTTCTGATACAAAAATTTGTTTTCCCTAAGGCATGATCCTTTCTGAGTAATTACTTCAACTCTAATTTTTTTTTTTTTTTTTTGGTACTGGAGATTGAACTCAGGACCTTGCACTTGCCAGGCAAGCGCCTATTCTCCTTAGCTACCTCCCTGGTCCTTATTTAAATCTTTTCATGAAGCTTCAGACACAACTGGAATTTTGTCAATTCTTCATTATCTAAGGACTTTTAGCCACAGCTTGCTTTCTATACATAACTGTCATCCTGGCTCTTTATTTCGGCAATGATCTTGTCATTTTGTTCATATTTGTTGCGTATCTGACCTCATAATTTCCTTTTTCCTAGTTTATTCCCATATTTTAATGGATAACATCTCCAGGACATGTCTTGAGAAAGGAGTCATGAATTTTTTTCAGACTTACTATGTCTGAAACTTTTGCACACATTTGGTTGCCACAGTGGTACTAAAGACTAAGCTGTTAATTCTCCTTCAGCACGTGTCTCACTCTCTAAATCCCAAAGTTGCTACTGAGTGTTGCGAAGCTAATCCGATTCCAGCGCGAACCTCTTTATCCTCCTGTTCTCAAAGAGTTCACAAAGACCACCTAGACGTGAGTCTGATGACACCTTTGTGCTGGCTGCCTGCCGGCCTCTTTCAATGTGGAAACTCACAGCCTTAAGCGATGGAGCACTCCCCGATCATTCGGCACGTCCCTCCTTTCTCCCAGCTGTCTCCGGAAAGCCTAGGCGGCTCCCTCTCCGTGGAGCTGGCAGCGGCAGGGCGCATGCGCAGTTGCGGAGCTGCGCTCACTGCGCCTGCGCACGGCTTCCCCGCCGCCGCCGCTCGTTCCGCTCCGCACCGCCGCGCCGCTGAATGGCCTGCGGTGCCTCCGCCAGCCGGGAGTTGGCCGCCACTCAGCACCGAGAGCCCCGCTGACTTGCCCTCTTTTGGCCGGAACCCCACCGCCTGGGCCCGCGCGGGAGAAGCGGAGCCGGTGAGGGGAGCGGCGACCCCGCCGACCGCGGTCTCTTTCCCTGGCGGCGGCGGCTTCTTCCGTGGGACAATATGTTCAAGAGAATGGCCGAATTTGGGCCTGACTCCGGCGGGAGAGTGAAGGTCAGTGCCCGGCCGCAGGCTCCCACCCCGGCTCCGGCCTGCGCGGCGGCGGGAGAGCCTCCCGCTTCCCTTTCGCGCCTTCTCTGCCCGGCTTGAGCCGCGGGGTCCGCCGCAGCGCCCGCCGCGGCCGCGGGGCGGAGACCGACCACTCATTGGTTCCCGACCTCGCGCGTCATCGCCCTCCCACCGAGCCTGGGGAAGCCCCGTGTGGCCGTCCAGGAGTCGGGCCGCCCCTGGCCGGGAAACCGCAGCTCGCTACCCTGTGGCGCCCAGCCGAGGTCACCGGTAAACTAGAGACCCACCTGCCGTGGGGCAAGCCACAGCAGAGGGCCCGCGGGCTCCGAGGCGGAGGGCTTCCAAAGGCCGGGGTGGAAGGATCCCCGTGGTATCTACAGGTGTCTGGGGTACCTGGGCGCAGAATGGCGAGTTCTGGTGTCCACAAGCCCCGAAGTTGTTCCTGAGATAATAATAAAGATGCTCAGAGAACATAATGCAGTGCGTGGCACATAGGTTACATTTAGTGAATGGCAGTTTGTTTTGTTTTAATGAAAGCTCTGGTCGAGTCTAGCATATTTGACTGTGGCACGTGTCTGCCTCCCACTTTTCTACCTGCCCTGGCTAGTCAACACTGTATTTAAGGCAGGGCCAACAAAACCTTGATGCAGCAGCACTTATATGTGCCCCTTCTGACGTTTTAACATACTGCTCAAAGGCAATTTTTTTTCTCCCAAAACAGCCACTTTTTATAATAGTACACAAATCGTAAAGTAGATTTTTAGAGTGCTTATTTGTATCATTTTACGTCATTTTGTATTACAATGTGTATACAAACTATCTATGAGAATGTTTTCAAATGTTGCAAAAGCTGCAGAAATTTAATAGGGCGGGAAAGTTGTATCAGGCAAAAGTTAACTTTGCCCAAGCTTTTAGGATAGGTGTTGGACTGATAGGAAACTACTACTGTCTAGAAATAAATAGCCTCGTGTGGTGGTGCATGCCTATAATCCGAGCACTAGGGAGACTGAGGCAGGAGGATTGCTAAGAGTTCAAATCCAGCAAGGGCTACTTAGTGAGTTCAAGTAGTAAGACCCTATCTCAAAAACAGGCAAAAAAGAGTAAAACATTAGATTTTGGGGAAGAAGTTACAGAAGTTAGGTGTTAGATTCTAAAAGTATTTAAGTTTCAGCCCAGTCTCCTTGAGGAAATGAAACCTGCAATCCTCAAATGATTTTCCGCCAAAATAGCTATGTAAAATTTTAAAATTAGGGATGTATTTCTCCTCCCTGCTTACCTTGTGCTTTTCAGGACTAGAGAACTGTTTCATCACTGATGAATCCTGCCAAGTGTTTGAGAATGAATTCTGTAGCGGAATTGAGCTCTGCTGTATACTTACAGACCTGCCCTGGCCAGTTAGTACTGTATTTAAGGCAGTCTTGTTCTCTGGCCTCTATGGTCACAAAAGGGTCATCAGTAGCCTTTAATACTATAGTTTAAGGTTTCATACAACTGCCTTCATCTGAGCTAATGTTTGATTTATAGGTACGGGATTTGGTTAACTGCCCAGACACAATTTAAAATTTTTTGGTTATTTTCACTCCTTTTCCTTATTTCTTATTAGGATTGATTACATCGGCACACTTTGGTGAGGGGAGTACTTTCAACAGCATACTCACTGGCTTCCATTTAGTTTGACATCTTTTTCTCATGGTGATTTAGAGATTCTTCAAGCCAGTAAAAATATTTCATAACCGTTTCGCCACTTGGGTATATACCTACACAGTACCTCACATGTTTTAGCAAGAAAACACTGAAAAGTAGAGACCTGACACAGCTAGCTAGCTACGAGAATCTGCTCCAAGCAAGCATTTGTTTCTCTGAAGTAAGGGCACCACACACCTGTTCATTTAAGACAACTGTCCTTATTATTCAGTATGCATTTTTCGTTTTAAACAGGGCCTAGATCACTCAGCCTTGCAATAGGTGCTCACTGGCAGAGCTGCATCCCCAGCTTATGCCTTGACTTCATAGAGAACAAGTTCCTGCCGTTCAGGCTGCTTCTGATTGGTTCTCGTAATGTACGCTTCTCCCGTGGGGCAGGCTGACACTTCAGTTCAACTGAGGTATCCTTTGGTTTGGCTTCCTTATTTTTTTGATCATTTTCCTTAATGCATTTCAGAAAGCTATCTTGATTCCTAGAGTGGTTAATATGCTCAATACACATTAATTCTTGACCTTAACACTGACTTGCTTGTTCCAGGGCCAACAGCATGCTGGGTAACATTATAGACTCTTCCAGTTTTATCATGATAACATCTGCATGGTGCTCCTTTTTGAACGTACCCATTCCCTTGATGTCTACAATAGCTACAGTTTTATATATGTGGCCAGAGGAGCAACTCCATGTTTTCTGAAAGGCCTAGAGAACATAAACCAAATCCTCTCTTTCTCTTTCTGTTTGTCATTGTCATTTTGACAAATTACTGAAAGATGGTCGTTCTGGCCAAAAGGGCACAGCACTTTTCACATATAATATGTCGTGGTTTTTCTCCTTCAGATACATTTTTTTGCTATTGGGCCACGGGTCTAAAATTCATGTGCAAGGCTGGGACGATAGCTCAGTAGAATAAGTGCCTGTGTGGCAAAGACAGGGTCCTGAGTTCAAGCCCCAGTACTACAAAAATAAAATTCATGTGCAGCTCTTTTTTTCTCTTCGTTGAAATGCTTGATCTCTCCTTTGCTTTCCATCAGCCTATCAGCAGCTCAATCAGATGTGAGCAGAAACATGAGTCTACACTGAAGAACTGAATACAAATGTAGCAAACTTGACACCAGCAGTATTTGCCAAGTTTGTTATCCTAGCCCCATTTTTGCCACATTTGAATCCAGTTGTAATACATATTGTAACATTTATATGTAAATCAGTTGAACTGTTAAAATCCTCTTCCTAAATTTTGAATTTTTAGGGTTTTTTTTCTAATATGGGTTAAAGTAAATGCATAAATAGTAAAATGCACTTTTTATCCAAATACCTAGAGTTCAGGTTCATAACAGACCTGTTGTACTTCCTTAAGCAAAATTCAAGTGCTTTATGTGATTATTTAAATAAGAGCATTGTCAAAGAGCAAATTAATTAATATGATGATAAGTTACTTGTGTTAATATGAATGAAAATGTTGCAAACTGGTCTGAGAAAAGTTCATGTTGTAACCTGTTCAGTTGAGGAAATTGCCCTTATAGTTCAGGTTATAAGATTGGCATTTCTTTTATATCCAAAGTGAGAGTCACACCCCTGGACAAAGGAGCCTCCTAAACACTGCCAGTTCTGGGCCGGGGGTGTAGCTCAGTGGCACAGTACCTGCCTGGCAAGCATGAGGTCCTGAGTTCGATTCCTGGTACCAAAAAAAAAGACTACCATTTCTTGAAACAAGCCTCATTCTGTATTTATTCAGTTAATAGTATAATTTTTTTTGTTTTTTAAACTATTTTTCTTTTAGGGGGTTACTATTGTTAAACCAATAGTTTATGGTAACGTTGCTCGCTATTTTGGGAAGAAGAGAGAAGAAGATGGGCACACCCATCAGTGGACGGTGTATGTAAAGCCATATAGAAATGAGGTAGGTACTTTTTTCCTCTGCAATTTTTCTATAATTTGTTCTGCTCAAAGATAAATTGTAAATTTTTATAGTAACTTTCTGATAAAATTAACTCATTGTGGAAATGTAGCCCCCCCCAAAAAAATTAGAAGAATAAAATGAGATTTGTCATTTTTGTGCAGTTAGTAGAAACTGATTTTCCAAAAATGTTTCCTAATTAAAATTAAGTAACAAGGATTATACTTGTATAAATACAGTACAAGTGTGCTTGCCAAACATCAGTGTCTCAAGTTAACACAGTCACCAGGGGCGTTTCAGAAATAGCAACAAATAGAGTAATAAGTAGACCAGAGAGCATAGAAACAGTTCTGCTATATACACTGGTTATACTAGTGTTTTTGTTTTTTGGTTGAATCTGCTGCCTTGAAAACAACCATTAGATACATATTCAATAGATATTTATTGAATGAATAGATTATTCAACTTGCATATGCAGATAGCATTACTCATTATAGCCAAAAAAATGGAATCAACTAAAATGTCTGTGAGCTGATGAACATATGAATAAAATGTTGTATATTCACGCAATGGAATACTACTAGGCACTAACAAGAAATGAAGTACTGGTGTGTGTCAGCACGTGTGTGAAAATGGAAGCATTATGCTTAGTGAAAGAAAAAACATAAAACGGCATTACTTGTATGATATCATTTATATAAAATGTCCAAATAGGCAATCCATAGACATAAATCCCTGGTTAAAATTCCTTTTACTTTTTAAAAAAAGTTACCATCGAGACCCC